TCAACTATAAATCCAAGATTCCCAGATTCTTTACTCCTTTGTCATCACAGCTTCCACACTCTGACATTACCCTGAGTCTCCCTCCCGAATTATGGAATGCCACCTCCCTCCAACACAATCTTGGGTGTGCTTTGTCCATTGTCATCATTCCATCCCTTCTTACTCCACCATTAAAAGAGCCTTGCCCCCATGTCATAATTATCCCTGGTCCTGCCAACCTCATTCCATCATTATCATGGATTCCCCTACCTCCCAACACTATGCCAGGCCTCCCTCAATGTGACATTAGTACCATGGGCTCTTCTGTCACTCCAAGATCACAACATCTTTGGAGGAGATGATCTCTATGATGGCATTGGCTCTAAATCGGGGATTCCCTGGCCCCTTCCTTGGTATTATCACACTCTCCCTCCTCTTAGGCTATCATCAGCACCATTTTATTCAACATAAGCACAATCTCCTTTCCTGCCAACATTACCACAGTCCCATTCATTCTCATATAATCCAAACATGCTTGGTCCATCATTATCACATGCCCCAAGGTTCCATAGGCTCTTTCTTACTCCAACATTTAAGCAGGTCCTTTCAGCCCATGTTATCACATCCCATCTTGCTTCATCATTAAAATAGGTCCCTTCACAACTTTCTTATAAGCCTGTCTTACTTTATTTTCACCTCTACAATCATCATGGGTCCCTGCTGACCCCAGAATTATCACATCCTCCTATCATTCTCACATTTCCCCCTCTTCCTGCCTCATCATTAATGTTTCTTCTAACTCCATTATTGAGGCCTCCTCACCCAACATATCACATGTCCCTCTGATCTACCTCATCATTATATCCCCCATCATTCAAACATTATCTAAAGCCTGCCTCACTTTAACAATAAATTAAGTCTCCCAAATAATAATTAAAAGAGGCCCCTCAAGTCCATAAAAAATAGGTACTCTAAACCTATCATTAAAACAAACCCCCTAAATCTGTAATTAAAACAGGTCCCCTAAATCCATAGTTAAAACAGATCCCCTGGCTCCTTCATTATCCCCTCTATTCTCCTTACTCCACTGCTGCCACAGGCTCTTTCTCTCTGGGTTCCCTCATTCCATCACTATTCTATCCCTTCCAAATTCCATATGAAAAGAGCCATGCCCCACCAATCCAATATTATCACATTAACCTCTTCATTATCACCCTCCCACATACTATCATTATATAAAGAACCCTTATCACCAACATTATCATGTCCACTCTCACTTGATCATGAAAATGAAGTCTGTTCCACTCCCATATATTAACATACCGTCTTCACTGTGATATTGTCAAAGTCCCCTTCATTTCAGTATTATTCCATATCCATGGCCTAGATGGGTTTTGTAATTCCATTAATATCCTCATCACCCCTGAACTGTCACATCTCCCTCACTCCAACATGAACACGCTCATTATTACTTCCATATTATCTAGGCCTCCCTGCTCCTCTCCCCCCCAACTTCTGCCCACATGTCAAATCCCTTCTCAATTCCTCATTTAAGCAGGCCCCATTCAGTCCATCATTTCATAGGCCCTTCTTTATTTCTGCTCCTTCCTCTGTCATTGGAATAATTCCTCTTTATTCCATCACCATCACCCTCTGCAGAATCACAGGAGCTAAGAATTGCAAAGGCCTCGGCCGTCACATGGTTGGACTTACTCCTCGACCTGAATCCCCTCTATTTCAGTATTCATGAGAAGCCTTTGCTTGAATACCTCCAGGAAGAAGGAACTCATCCCCTCTGGAAGTGCCCAATTTTACTTTGGGGCAACTTTAATCATTAGGAAGTTTTCCCTGACATCAAATTGGCCTCTTTGTAACTTCCACCCATGGTTTGGACATTTGCCCACCAGGGTCAATTGGAGTGAGGCTAATGCCTCTTTCCCATGACGATCCTTCAGATACTTGGAGGCAGCCATGATGTCTTCCCTGAGCAGTCTCTTCTAAACCATATTCAATGTCCCTTTAAATGATTGTCATGGGATATGGATTCAAGGCCCTTTGCTACCTTGGTGGACTACTTCATTCCAGGGTAATGTTGGTCAATTTAAGTCAATTTAGTTGGGGTGAGGGCTTATATAGTAGAAGTCTGGGTGTCTTTCTTATGGTTGGGGGAGGAATCACCATCATAGTCCCTCTATTCCCTACTCTAGTTTATCGACATATTTCCCAACCTGTGGTGCCCATGGATGACCTAAAGACTTCAGATGAGATTGGACTAAGGCAGAGGATGGGGTGCACATCCAAGTAGGATATATTCCTGGATGTTATGCCTCTGTTAACACAGCCTAAAGATCTTCCTGGTTTTAAGCTTACATATGTCATACTGCTGACTCACACTGAGCTTGGATACTGCTATAGCCCCAAATATTTTTCAGTCAAGCCATGCCTCCTCTAACTTATTGTCCTTGTGAAATTGAATGTTTGAAGCCAAGGGAAAGACTTTACATTTATTCTTACTCAATTTTACCTCATCAGCTCCAGCCCCCCAACTTTCTGAATCCTCATCCTTCTTGACCTCTCTGTAGCCTCTGACACTGTCAATCACTCTATTTTTTCCCTAGGTTTTTAGGACATAATGCTCTACTCTTACATATCTGACCACTCCTCATCCCCTTGGCTGGGTCTTCATTGAGATCATGCCATCATGTTATCTGTGAGTATTCCCTCTAGGCCCTCTTCTCCTCTTCCTCCTAACTATTTTGGTAATCTCAATAGTTCCCATGAATTAAATTATCATCTCTCTGCAGATATCTATCTCAAATTTATTTATCCAGCCCTAACCTCTCTGCCACTCTCCAGTCTCACTTCTCTAATTGCCTTGGGCATCTTCAATTGGATGACCTGTAGCCATCTTAAACTCAACATGTTTAAAACTGAACTCATTATCTTTCTCACCAAACCAAATTCCCCAATTACTGTCAAGGGCACCATCATCTTAGTCCCTCAGGCTTAAGAACTAGAAGTCATCCGTGACTCCTCACTGTCTCTCTCACTCCCCTCCACCATATCTAATCTGCTGCTGAAGCCTGTTGATTTCATCTTTGCAACATCTCTCAAGTACACCCTCTCCTCTCTTCTGACACTGTCATCACCCTGGTGCAGACCCTCACCTGAATTATCGCAGTAGCCTGCTGCTGGGTCTGCCTGCCTCAAGTCTCCACTCCAGTCCATCCTCCAAATGTCAAAGTGATTTTCCTAAAACTCAGGGCTGACCATGTTACCTCCTCTCACCCCACTCTCTCATTCAGTAAACTCCAGGGTTCCCCATCACCTCCAGGATCAAGTATAAAATCCTCTGTTTGGTTTTCAAAGCCCTTCATAACCTGCCAGTCCTATCTTTCCAGTCCTGTTACACACTAGAGGCAGCTGGTGTCACAGTGGAGAGAGTACTGGGACTGGAATCAGGAAGACCTGAGTTCAAATCCAGCTTCACACATTCACTAGCTCTGTGATCCTGCATGTCATTTAACCTTTATTTGCCTCAGTTTTCTCAACTGTAAAAGGAAGATAACAATAGAACCTACCTCCCAAGACTGTGAGGATCAAATAAGATGATATTAGCGCAGTGCCTGGGATACAGTAGGTGCTACATATGTGCTTATTCCCTTCTCTTACACTCTGCCACGTACTCTTTGGTCCAGTGAAAATGGCCACCTTGCTTTTCCTTGAACAAGATATTCTACCTTGTGACTCCATACATTTTCTCTGGTTGTCCTCCATGCCTCCCTTCTCCTCTCTGCCTTTTGGTTTCTCTAGTTTTCTTTAAGTCCCAACTAACATCCCACCTTTTACAGGAAGCCTTTCCAAATCCTCCTTAATTCTAGCACTTCTCCTCTATTGATTATTTCCAACTTATTCTGTCTACAAATTGTACACAGTTGTTTGTATGTTATCTCCCTCATTAGATTATGAGTTCCTGGAGAGAAGGAATGGCTTTTGCCTTTCTTTCTATCCCCAATACTTAGGATAGTGCTTGGTACACGTAGGCACTTAACATGTGCATATTGACTGACTGTGCCTTGAAGGTTTGTGTCAATTGTAACATTGGATGTGTATGCCTTCTATGCCATTAGTGGTTATTGATGAAACATTCAATGGCATAGAGGCCTGTAGCACTCCAGCAGGGACCTCCTTCCAAACCAACATGGAACCAGTCATTGGGTCCAGTCATTCAATAAAATCCAAACTGATGTAACTGGACCGTGTCTGGTAATCTCCTCATCTTGTCCAGAAGGATGGTGTGAGAGACTTAGGTCAAATGCTTTGCTAAAATCTTAGTCAACTAGGTCTCCTGCTCTACTTGTCTAGTAATCCTGTCGAGAAAGGAAATAAGGTTAGTGTGGCATGGGCTGGCGCCTCAGTTCTTTTTCCTTCCCCTCAGTGTGGCATTATCTCAGATCACTGCCACATGATCACATCGATGGCCCCGATGGCCATGAGGATTCCTTTTTGCTCTAATTCTGTGATTCTGCCCTCTTTATTTCCACACCCCTTCTTTCTTAGACCCTTGTTACAGACCCTGCTCACTCTCATGCTAGGTCAGTTCCCCACATTCCCACGCTTCTTTGAACACTGACAGGATAGAAGGTCCCCTGATTGCCACGTTATCATATCCCCTTTATTCTGACCCTCTCACTTTCGCATCCTTAAAACGGGTCCCCTCATTCATTCATCCATTACCACAGAGCTCCCTCATTCCCACCTTAAACTCCCTTCTTCTCTTTATCCATTTTTAAAACAGGACTGCTCGCAATGTTATCATTGCCCCTCTGGCTTTATTATCACATCCATCACTGTCACAGGGTCCCCTCCCTCCAGCAGTGGCCTTATCACAGACCTCCCCCACCTCATGATCACAGGCCCTGCTTCCTCTATCCTTATTCCAGGTCCCCATTATTCCAACGTGATCACAGTCCCACCGCGATCCCAAGATCCCACGCTCTGAGGTCTGAGGCCACACTCACCTTTTGCTGCAGCCTTCTCCTCCAGGGTGAAGATGGTCTGAGTGAAGGCATCGTGCAGTCGAGTTCTCTCTGCATAATCTGGGGGGGGAGGGGAGTGTGGCAAGGGGGCAGGGGCTGCACCACAGCTCCAGACCATAGCATGGGGGGAGAGAACCCAGTTCTGAAAGGGTCTTTACCCCTGAGAAGTGGGCTCTCAGCTACTTGGGGCTGATGTGCTTCCTCTGGGGAGTGGGGGTCAGGGGAGGTTTACATGGGGCGTGGGCCCTGGGAGAATCCACCTTTGTCTAGGGGAGTACCACTCAGGCCTAGGGGCAGGGCCCGTTACAGGTGGCATGGTGCCAGCTGTCTTTCCCATGGTCCTTTCAGGCATCTTTCGGGTCTCTGATGAGGGAAGGGAGTAAGCTGTGTGGGGAATCGGAGGGTCTCCATTTGACCACTGCCTCTGCTTAGGACCTGTATGTGTGGCTTTGGCCTCATTTTTCTCATCTGTCACATGAGTGCACTGGACTAGCTGGGCCAGCTGTAAATGGCTGAGCAGATGGCCGCTTTGGGCTGGGCCAAGGGCTCTGTGCCGGCTGCCGCCTCTGGATTGTGAGCTACTGAGTTCTGAGGGCTGTGAACATTTCTCTCAGGGCTACGTGGTGGTGGGGGGGTGTCCTATGGGTGAGCTCCCCTGGGCTGGGGGGCTCCTCACTTATCTGGGTGTGGGTCAGGCCCTGGAAGGCTTCCATCAGCTGGGCCCCACACTGGGAAGCCTGGCGGCTCTTCCAGCTTGTGAAGAGCCGGCACACACGCTGCCGGTCAGCCTCTGAGGTGAAACAGAGAAGGCAGCCCCAGGACACTGGGAGGCTCATCACCACCAGCCTGAGGGCCAGGCCCAAGGCCAGAGGGACCATTTGGCTGGCCTGTGGGGACACAGCTGGGGCCATGGCCTGGGTAGGGAGGGAGGAGAGAGGGAAGGCAGTAGAAGATGACCTTTGTGAGGTCATCAGGCAATGTGGGGGAGGGGACGCGGCCCTCAGGATCTGCACCACTGAGGGACCCAAGTGTCCGTTCCCCAGCCACTCAAGGACCTGGCCATCCTGAGCCCGCTCAGACCCCACCCATCCCCAAGGATGAGGCACCCTTCAACTCAAACACCTGTCAGGGACACAGGTATGCTAATAATCCCCCAGCAGGTTCCAGAGTGGGAGGCTGGAGCTGAGGGTTAGGGCTGGAGGTTGGGGTCCTCCGAACGGCCAAGGTCAGAGGCTTATGGGTACAGAGGATCCTGGTTCTTGTCGGCTGACGGGCCGGCCTCCTGGCTCCCAAGAACCTCACCTGTGACCCTGGACGTCTTCACAGGTTAGAGGGTCTCAGGGACCGAGAGGACAGCGGGGGCAGAGACACAGAGACGAGGAGAGAAACATACTCACATGCACACACACACACACACACACTCACTCATACACACATCACACACACTCACACATACTCACACAAACACTCTCACATATACACACTCACACACACAACATACACTCACATACATCACACACACATATACACACACTCACACACACACAACACACATACTCTCACACTCTCATACTCACACACATACACTCATACACACACACATACAACACACACACACACTCATGGAAACAGAGCCAGACCCAGAGAGACACAGAGACGGAAATACAGTGCTATTGGAAAACACGGAGAGGCACAGAGAGGGACCCAGAGACATAGACGCTGTCTCCCCCAGTGCCCAGGTCAGGGTAAGAGGCAGGGCCACATTGCTACTGGTCCCCAGCTCAGTCTGCAGGGCTCTGCCTCAGGGAAGTCCCCCAACCAACAGCTCCCAGGCAGTGCCAAGCCTAGCCCCTCCCCTGGGCCCCTCCCCCACCCTCTTCCCCTCCTCCTCCGGTGCAGGGCACAGCCCGGGGAAAGCTAGTGAGCCGTACAGTTATCTCCACAGGTGTCTCTCTCAACTGTACAACCTACTACCTCAGCCCGGGCAGCGCGCGAGGTGGACAGGGCCGGGCTGGGCGGGGGCTGGACCAGGCCGGCAGGGGGGCCCGGCGGTGATGCCAATCCCGACACAGACCCACAGACTCGAGCTTGTGTGTGGCCGGCGCCCCGCAAGGTCGGATCTACGGGTGGGTGCCAGGCTGCAGAATGGGCCCCCCCAGGAGCCGGGTGCCTGGGCCACAACCCCTGCCCCCTCAGGGACCCAGGTGTCCTGATTCCCCAGCCCCTGCCCCCTCAGGGACCCAGGCGTCCTGATTCCCCAGCCCCTGCCTCTCTCAGGGACCCAGGTGTCCTGATTCCCCAGCCCTTGCCCCTCTCAGGGAACCAGTGTCCTGATTCCCCAGCCCCTGCCCCCCTCAGGGACCCAGGCTTCCTGATCCTTCTGCCCCTGACCCCCTCAGGGACCCAGATGTCCTGATGCTCCAGCCCTTGCCCCATTGGGGAAAGAGGGAGGTGATTCTTACCCCTCTCTGTGTTGTGAGGGGGATGACAAGTCCTGATCTGGGTCTTCTTTCTGGGAGCAGGGTGGGGTGTCCTTACCTGTCAGGGCCTTTGGCTACTTAGCCAAGATCTTGATCTTTTCAAGGTCCTGGGAATACTGGCTTATTGCCTGGGAGCAGAGAAGAGGTAGGCAGCGAAGGCTGACCCCGAGCTGTCAGACCCCAAGTCTCCTTTTCTCACTGCTTTCTGTTTCTTTCTGCCCACTGTCTGTCTCCTCTATTTCTCCCTCCTTCCTTCCTTCTTTCTGTCTTTCCTTCCCTCTCAAACCCACACCTTCTCTTTTCCCCTCTTCACTTGGGTCTCTCTGCCTCCCTCTGTCCATCTCTGGTCTCAATTTGTGGGTCTGTTTCCTTCTCAGTTTCTGTCTTTTTGTGTCTATCTCTTTGTCGATTTCTCTGTTTCAATCCCAAGACCTGCCTGGGCTTAGGCTGAGGGTCCCCTGTTTAGGTTTCCCTTTCCAGAGTCAGACCAGGGTCCGAGGCAACAGCACAACTGCCCTTGCTTTGGGACCCCAACCCCCTGGCCCTCTGCCCGCCTTGGAATCCCAGCATGCTCTGGGCCCAGGCCAGGGGAGGGGGAGGGGGAAAAGGAATCGAAGAATCAGTCAGTAGAGTCCTATCACACTAGGGGAAACTGAGGCTCAAGGAAAGGATGCTCCTGGACCAAGGTCACATATCAGGACAGGAGGACCCAGGTGTCCAGACCTCTGGCCCAGGGCCCTCTCAAGCATCTCTCTGGCTCAGAACCTGCATGAAAAGGGGTGGCTCCCACTGTGGGCTGGGGGGCAGCAAGCCTGGGTCCCCTCCCCTCCCCCGGCCCCCAGGGAGCCCCTGGGGGTCAGAGAGCAGGCCCAAACAGTCTGGCGTCATGGCAACCCGGGCTAGCCGGCTGCACCGCCCCCTTAACCCCTCGAGAGCCGGACTCCAGCTGGGCTCAGGGAGGCGGAGGAGGGACTGGGTCCAGAATAGGGGGTGGGGGGCGGGAGGTGGATGGGGGAGCTGAGTGATCCGGAAGCCTGGGTTCCAGACAGAGAGGGAGGGAGAGAGAAAGAGAGGTGGGGCTGGGGGTTCAGGACTCCAATTTCCTTGAGCGAGGAAAGGAGACTGGGGGAATCTGGAAGCCTGGGTCTCTTGAGAGGCCGCAGGCGGTGAGAGAGCAGGACGCCTGGGTCCCAGAGAGGCCAAGGACGGGTTTCAGGATTCTTGGGTCCTCGGGGGATGGAGGATTGTGTTTCCCCCAGGGCCTAGGTCCCTGAGGGGCCAGGGACTCGGGGATCGGGATGCTTGGTCCCGGAGGGATAGCGGGATGGGGGATCGGGACGTCTGGGTTCTTAAGGGGGCGGGGGCTGGGGGCCCGGATGCTGAAGTACCCTCCCCCGACAGACAGCCCCTGCCCCAGTCGCTGACCCCGGCCTGTCTGGCAGCCCAGACAGCCCCCCGGGCCGCCTCGCTCACCCTTGACCCCTTAATGCGGGCAGCCCCCGACCCCGCCCCTCCCCCTCTTCCCCTCCCGCCGCCCTTCCAGACATTAACTCTCCGTGTGCCGGGAGCTCCCTTTGCGAACCGCCTTCTCTTTCCCTCCTCCCAGGGCCCAGGCCCCCGCCCCCCTCAGTGACTCAGGCGGCCTGATTCCCCCCACCCCCACGGGGACCTAGGCGTCCTGACTGTCCCCCCTTCGGCCTCCGCCCCCCTCGAGAATCCAGGTTCTCATCCTCCCTCCCCCCCCAGGAGGGGCCCTGCCCAGGGGTCGGCTAGGATCCAGCCCCGGCCCCCACCCTCCACCCTGTTGCTGCCGCCCCCACCCCAGTCTCCATCTTTCCAGGGATGGGCCAGGCGTCGTTGGGCCGCCTTCTCCCCCAATCCCGGGCCCAGGGCGGCTTCCCGACTCACCTTCCCCAGCACCTGCGGCCCTTCGGCCCCTCCCCAGGTCCGCCTGGCTGGGGCTCCATCCTCTGCCCTTGGCCAGCCTCCCTCCGATTCGCTGGTCTCGATCCTTCTGCCCCGCTGGCTGGCCAGCGGGCGGGCAGGCGGCTTGTCCCTTCGCCTCCTTCATCCCTGCTTTGGAATCTGTGGCTCAGTTCTGTCTCCCAGTACCTCGGCGTCTCCTTCTGTCTTAGGTCTTTCCTCCCTCTGGGTGCCTCTGAGTCTGTCTCTCAGTCTCTAGGTCTCGGATCTCCCTCTCTCCAGGCTTTCTCAGCCTCTTGAATCTCTCCGTTCGTCTCTATGTCTTTCCCCTTCCTTTCTCTCCATCCCCCCTCCCTCCTCCTCCTTCCCTTTCCCTCCCTCCCTCCCTCCATCTCTGCCTCCTCTGTCTTCGTTTCTCTCTCTCCCTCCATGTTCTCTCTCTCTCTCTCTCTCTCTCTTCTCTCTCTCTCTCTCTCTCTCTCTCTCTCTCTCTCTCTCTCTCTCTCCCTGTCTGTCTCCCTCCCTCCCTCCCTCGTCTCTCTCTCCGTCTCTCCCTCTTTCCCCTTCTCTCTCTCTTCCTCCCTCCCTCTCTCGATGTCTCCCTCCCTGTGTGTGTGTCTCCCTCCCCACGCTCCGGGACCCGCACAGCGGAACCCCCAGCCCTGCCCCCAGCCCATCCCTCCCTCCCCCCCTTTTCCCTCGCTGCCTCTCTCTCTCTCTTTCTGTGTGTGCGTCTCTCTCCCTCCCGCCGGTGGGCCCCGGCCGGCCCAGGCCCCTGCCCGGCCCTGCCCGGCCTCCCCCCTAGTTCCTGGCCGCGGTCCAGGGAAAAAAATTCCATTCCGCCTCAGGGAGAGAGAGAGAGGAGGGGGAGAGAGGGAGGAGGCCGGGGAGAGGGAGGGAGGAGGGAGAGGAGAGGGAGAGGGGGAGGGGGAGAGGAGACCTGGAAGGGGGAGGGAAAGGGAGAGGGGGAGGGGGAGGGCTATGGGGGCATGACGCAGAGGAGGAGGAGAAGGAACAAAGGAGGAGCAGGAGAGCAAGACTGGGGAAGCTTCCTCTCCAGTCCTCTCTTCTCTTTCATCTCTTTTCTCTCTCCTCTCCTCTCTCGCCTCTCTCCCCCTTAGCTCTCTCGCTCCTTCCTCCTCTGGCCTTTGCCTAGGTCCTCTCCCTCTGCCCCGGCTGCCCGCCTCTCCTCTCTTCCTTTCCTCTGTCTCCCTCTCTCTACCTTACCCTTTCCTGGCCCCTCTCCTCTCCCTATCTCCCTCTCCTCTCTCCCGTTTTCCTGTTTGCCTCTCCCCCATCCCCCTTCCCTGGCTCTTCTCCGTTCTGCTCTCCCTTCCTCTCCTCTCTCTCCCTCTCTTCCCCTTTCTTTCTCTTCTCTCTCCCTCCTTTCTCGTCCCTCTCCTCCCATAGACTGTCAGAGCTGAATAGCCGTCAGACACCACCTAGTTCAACCCAGACCTAATCCCCTCTAGAATATATGACCAGTGGTCACTCCTTGAAGCACCCCATTACCGAGCTCTCTTCCTTTCAGGCACCCAATCCATTCCACTGTTGGACAGTTCTAATTGCTGAGCAGTTTTCCTCTGTAATAGACCCTAACGGACACCTCCCTTTCCCCCTTTCCACGTGGCTCCAGGTTCATTCCTCTGGGGCCTGGCAGGACAGGTTTAACTCTACTTCCCCTGGAGAGCCCTTCAGAGAAGACTGCCATCACGGAGTGCTTATAATAACTGATATTTCCGTGGCCTTAAGGCTTGGGAAATGCTTTCCATCCATTATCTCCTTTGATCCTCCCAGTAAACCTGTTAGGTAGGCATGGCAACAGGTGCAGATGAAGAAACTGAGTCTCAGAGAGGTTGACGTTCTTATAGTTATTTTCTCGGAGGGATTTTTATCAGTGTAGGCAGCAACTAGTGAGGAAACTTTCCCTACCAAAGAGGAGCAGCACCTTCTTTGCAAGGCAGAAAGTTGTCTGGGACCCTGAGAAGTTATGTGACTTACCTAGGGTCACACAGC